TCCTGGTTATTAATATATAATTTATTTTCAGTGGTCTACCTCTGCCCACAGTGTCCCTGTCTTCTCTGTTTGCCTATGATGGCCGCTGCTGAGAGAGCTGTTGTTTAAGCGAGAGATGCGGCTTACCCTGCTATGTGCTAGACCACGCCCCCATAGATTATTATGATCTGTTCTTTGTACATCCATTTCTCACAAAGGGCTAATAAAATGATCTTATATTTTCAGTGGTTAACAATTTCAGAATGGAACAGAATGGGACAGCTTTCATTAAAAAGTGCTCTTTTGCAATTTGCATTTATTACATTGTTACAGACTTGTTCATGATGCTTATTGTTCTCAATAGAAGCTACTGCGCATTTTAAAATTTGTTGTGTGTTTGTTCATAAACATTGAATAACAGTAGATTTATTTTTTCTCTTCACCATCAAAAGTCAAAATGAATATCTGCAAAATAATTCAAATTAAATACAATAAAAAATTACAAAATTGCTCCCCTTTTAAAATCACATATATTAATATATTAATTTCTAAAGTAACATAGTTGTATGGAAAATACCAACTATATTACATAGTTACATAATAGCATAATTGGTAAAGTTGAATAAAGACACAGGTCCATTCAGTTTTAAATGATGTGTTTATGTGTGTGTTTGTATACCTGCGGGCTGAATGAAAGAAAATAAATATAGCAGATTTATGAACAACATGGATGGAAGAATCCCCCGCCATAAGCATTGTTCGTTCAGCTCAGTTTGCATCAAATGAGTTTGCACATCAATACCCTCTTGTAAAGACCACAGGTAGCTGGTGAACTTGGGAGCAAGTACAGAGATCTTGGCACCAAAGTCCTTGACACAGTAAAGATAGTGTTGATTATTGGTATCAGTTTTGGATATACAGATCACTTTTAATGCATGCAAGTCTATTTAATTTGGGCAATATTTGGTCTTGCATAAGTAATAAAAACAGTCCAATTTCCATGATAAGCTTCTCTGTAGATGAGAGGAGCACAGTTAAAAGTTTCCATTAAAATGCAACTTTTTTTCAAGCAGTGTATTTCAATGTAATGCTTCAGTGTTTAGGTTTTACTTACAGATCACTTATGCAGACTGCAAGATAGTTATTCCATGTGCTAGTTAATGATGATAGATCTCTTTGTAAATATAAACTGCCTCAGAGACTAAAATGTGTTTATTTTTACAGGGCCACAGAACAATGATTTAAAAAGACAGTTTCTTATGGAACGTTTATTGGATGCAGTAAAGCAGGTAGGATATGCTTTTAATGGAAGATTTTTATTTACGGGTCTAAGGGATTTCTTTCCTCATAACGTTAGTCGGTGGGCCAAATTGTGATATCAGTATTGCAATTGCCTCAGTAGTGACTAGGATAGGTTTGGGGAATCTCTAGAGAAGGATCAAACAAATCCAACCTAACATTAGGGCAAGATAAGTTCCCCCTCATTTCAGAGGGAGACGAGTCAGACATATAATGGTGCAGCACCATCGAACAGTACTCCTCCTCGGCAGCAGTACTTGGGCTAGATGTCCAGTGGGCTTCCACACGGCACTGAGGCTCTGCTTACCTCCCCGCCAACACCTGACTTTTGGTGACGTCAATTCCAGGTGACATCACATCCAGGTTCAGGGAGGGGGCTCCCCGACAGATGTGCTGCACTTCAGCCTGAAGTGAAAACACAGACCTTATCCTGAATCATCACAGAGGAAGGGGTCATTGTCCATAAAATTGGCCAGGACAATACCCCTGGACAGGGAGTGTCTAAATATCACACCTCCAGATCCAGCCACTAAATATACAAAATAAAAATTATTAAATTAAATGCAAATAACATTGAAAACAACCAAAACAGGGAAAAAAAACAAACCCTATATGCATTATATCATGAAGGAGGGGGACTCACACTCACGCCACACTTATTTGTAAGCTTATACAAACAATCAAACTGAACCCAACTGACTGGCTATATTTGCATGATAGAGTAGAAGATCTCTGGGACTATTCATTGCTTGTTGACTCACTTATATTAACAATTTTCTATTATATTCATGTTTTAATTACTGCTCTTGCATTTTTTTGGCCTCCAAATCAAAATCACTATCATGAATGCAGTTGCATCTTAATCTAAATGTATTGCCCTTTGGGAATACTCCTCAACAGTTGTCCTGGGTGTGCACTTGAAGAATGCAAGACTGTATTACCAGCAGATGGTTTCCTGTAGAGAGTTATTCCCAGAGTAGTATAATTCTCAAAAATCAGAAGGTCCAAAAAGGAAAGTTAAATTTTATTAAAAATGATAGTAAAAGACAAAGTAAATGCATTGCTGTTCAAAAATGTTACAAATTCCTGTTATAATTGGTCTGAGGCAGTGCATAGGATGAAGAAATCGTTGGTGTACCTCTGCCAAGACAAGACATGGCACAGGTAAATCAATGACTCCTTGCAAGAAAAAAGATACCATTTGCCCCCAACCCTGAGGTACAGGTTCGCAAGATGGTTAAATGATGGATGGTAGCTTTCATGTACGATGGCAATCTTTCCACATGTGGGCATAAATGGTAATCTACTACTTTGCTAGCACTACTTGTAAGGTAGCCCATTCCTGAAATAATGGGCCTGCCTGGGGAACATGTTAAACCTTTATAGACCTTTGGCAACATATAGAAGGGGTGAGTTAGTGGACACATGACTTTGTAGAAGCATGCTGCATGCCTAGGTGCTTGGTTTTCTCAAACACTTGTGAAAGAATGGGTCGCTCTCAGCGCAGTAAATTTAAGCATGGTACCATGATAGGTTGCCAACTATGCAATAAGTTCATCCGTGAAATTTCCTTGCTACTAAATATTCCACGGTCAACTGTAGTGGTATTATAACAAAGTGGAAGCAACTGGAAACAGCAGCAACTCAGCCATGAAGTGGTAGGCCATGTAAAATGACAGATCGGGGTCAGCGCATACTGAAGCGCACAGTGCGCCGAAGTCGCCAACTGTCTGCAGAGTCAATAGCTACAGACCTCCAAACTTCGTGTGGCCTTCAGATTGGCACTGTGACGTACTGAACCATCACTGGGGCTGCTGGAGGAGCCTGAGGGCTACCCTCCTTCCTACTGACTATGGACCTAGGAATATGGAGACCCCCTTGAGACCTCTTGGGGTTACATGGAACTAAGACTTGAGGGACTGTTCCTGGAACCCCGAGGATTGTTATGTACGTTTACCCCTTGGAACTAATAACCCTGATTTATGTGTGGAGTTTATATGCGGCATCTTTCCCCTGTGCCCATTAACCAGTTGACATCCACAGTGTTAAACCCCATTCCCATCCAGGCCATTTTTCAGTATTCAGCGCTGCAGTACTTTGACTGACATTTATTCCGTCATGCAACGCTGTACTGAAATTAATTTTATACAATTTTTTAGGGACAGATAGAGCTTTCTTTTGGTGGCATTTAATCACCACTGGGGTTTTTATTTTTTACTATATTAAGGAAAAATTACAGAAATAAAAAAAAAAACTATTTCCCCTATATTAAATGATAAAACATTTATTATTACCCAATTTTTTTGGTAAAATATAAAAGACGGGGCCACGTCGGGTAAAAAGACACCAAACATGTCAAGCCTTAAAATTGCGTGCGAAACCTCAAAAAACGATAATACCCAAAATTGGCCATAGGCGACGCTTTAAAAGCTTTTACCGCTCATCAGTTTAGTGTTATCAGTGATTGATGGCCCTAAAATGATTGCTCTCACTGTGACGTTTGCGGCGCTATGTAACGTGTGTGGCGCAATTATCGTTTTTGCGCTCTAGTGCACCGGACGCGTATTTACGTTTATATCTGCGTAAACGTGGGGGTGGGGGAGTTAAACATTTATTTTATTTATTTTTTTTACTTTTTTTATATGTGACTTTTGTTTTATTTTACTTTTTTATATGTGACTTTTATTTTATTTTTTTATTTATATATATATTTTTTGCACTT